AATTGATGAAAAGTGAATTCATCCAAGTATCTTGTCAGTGGACGAATTGCCAGGGATGTATTGGCCATGCCTATCTCAACTATAGCTTTTAAATCTGCTTTCAACACTGGGTGTCATGTACTAAATGAATATAGATGTTCACTCAAGGCCAATGAAATCAAAAGATGAATAAGATTAATATAATATGAACATATCTTTTTATCTTTGATTCATTTGAGATCAAGCAAAAAATAAATATTTTTTAAAAAAGATGAACATTTATGCATGATTGCATACGATATGTGATGTGATTAATCAAGGTTCAAAGACTTCCCATAAATATGTTATGATTCTGAATTTTTGATTGAAATAAAGCATGAGGTAAATAAGGATCTTCCATATAATGAAAGAGCTAATAATGCATAAATTAATTCAAATTAAAAGAAATCCAACTGTTACAAAGATAGGAAAAAAGGAAAAAAAAAGTCAAATAAATTTATTGAAACTTGATCCAAATTTTAACCAAATAAAAACAAAGTAAAACAAAAACTAAACCAAATCAACTTTAGTTGAAACTAATCAAGTTCCACTTATGCTCAAACTGATTGATTCGGTTCGGTCTAATTTTTGCTCAAAAACAAACTAAACCAAACCTATGAACACCCCTACAGCAATACATATCCATAAGCTATTGTGCCATTCCATTCACATGTAGTGCACATGCATATAGGGCAAAGCTAGAAATTTTAATTAAGGGGCAGGATAACAAAACATATATGGTAATTGAAGAAAAATTAAATTTATATATATATATAAATCATTAACATAATATAAATATTTTTACATATATAATCATATCAATTTTACAAATATATAACAAATAAATAAGTTCTTTCATTTTAAAATATTTTCTCTTTGATTTTCATGGCATAAAAATTATCAATTTTCATGTATAAGATAAATTTTTCAATAATTTCTTTCTCAGTATAAACCATTAATCATTAAATTAGTAAAAAATTTATCTTCTTTTTTTAAGCATTGAATGTCTTAAATGCATTAAATTCTATTATTTATTCACTAAATTTACTATTTAAGTATTTTAATTGATAATCATCAACAATAGTAAATATATCGATGCAATGATGATACTCAACTATCACATAATCTCTATGTTTGTGAGATTAAATTATATAAGAGTAAAAACCATTCATGTTATAAATTTTAATAACTTGCAGTTATTACAAAAAGAAATAACTTTTTTTCTAAAAGAACACCTTAATTATAATCTCTTAACGTTTCAATAAGTAATTTTATGATGGATATAAAGCTTATATCATTAAATATATCTTGAAATATTTGATGCAAGGCTTGACAAAGTTTGTCAATAATTATATTCTCATAATTTGTTTCATCAAATCTAAAATGAAAATAAAATCAAATGATATCGATTGTTATAAAGCATATGTAGCATCATTTTGTTAGAAATGAAAAATATACACACATACAAGACTACATACATGATTGAAATAAAAACTCTATCTATTGTTTCCATGACTCTACAATATGTTAATTTAGAAGGATTGAAGATACCTCTGTATTTTACTAATAAAAAGTTAAAAAAAATTAGGAAAGGCCGTCCCTCATCTCTACCCCCTACATTCATGGTAATTAACATTGGCACCTTTACGCTGTACACATGAAGGAGATGGTGAGAAAAACTGAATCTAAAAATAAAAGGGAAGAGATGAAAGCTTGTTGGCGTCCGTGAAGAGGATGAGCACTTAGAAACAATCACATGCAAACATGTTGATTATGACCATCTTGAAAAAACAATCACGACAAAGCAAACACGTACTCAAAAAATGGACAATACAGAATAGGATATGGAAAAATGAGATTAAAACTTTGGCCATACAATGTCTATTCCATTCCATGAATATGAAGGTGATCGAGATGAGCATGTATGGGTGAGACCACAATAATCAAATGGCCATGCTTGAATAGGAATGAAAAAACAAAGTGGAGAGGAAGAGAAGACGTGTCCTGAGATTACACGCCCACGCCTCCATCTCATTGGGATGCTCATTGACATGAAGTGCTCGATACCCACGGGGCCATATTAATATGAATTTTTTGGTGATATAATAATAGTGTGATTTACTTTAAACTCTGAAGTACAACGACCAATATTTAGCCTGTTCATTCAAAATAAAAAAAGAGCATACTTTTCCTAAGTGAGAGTTCAATTTAAAACTTTGAACTAGAACAAACATCATATGATTTAATTTAATTTTTTTTTCATTTGATTTCACTTATAAGTCTTTTTTAACATGTTTCAAAAAAAAATCTTAAAATTCATTAATTTTTTATATAGAACACAATCTAATTTTATTTATCAATCACTTTCAAAATGTTTTATCATAGAATCAAAGAATGTTCTTCCATAAATAAAGTTATTTATAAATAAAACAAAAATTCATTTCTCTCTACCTTAATTAATAGGATAGGGAAGAGCATGTGTTAATCAAGTAATATTTATTTGCTGTAGACAGGATTCGATTCTAAGTTTTACTAAAATTTAGGTAGGAAATTAAAAGCGAGACAAGATAGAATTGTGAAGCCTACAAAAGGAGCAAAAAGTACTTTAAAAAACAATTACGTTTTATTTGAATGGAGCGAAAAATAAAAAATAAAACTCATAAAAATAATAAAAAAATAAATTTACTAATTTTAAAAATTTTGCCTTCTCATTTTTTCCCTCACTTTTTCTTCAATTTAAATCAAGTTTTAGTAATACTTTTTCAGTCCTCTTTATATAAGTCATTTTACAAATTTCATCAATATCAATGCTTGAAAGGAATAAAAATGTGTATAATTTTAAATATACTCTCATATAATAAATTTAAAAAATAATATCATGTTATTTTTTTCTCTTATAAAAAATAAACTTTAAAAATAAGAAAAAATAATAATCAAGAATCTTGTACGAAATTTATTTTAATTAAGGATTAGTTATTATCAAAATTCACATTGATATATACTTGTCAATTCAGATTAATTTTTTATCAATAAGTATTCATTTAAGTTTTAATGATAACTCATTTTAAACTTTAATTAATATAAATTTTATATAAAAAATTTTTAATTATTTTTTTAAAAAATATCTTTTAAAGATTATATTAAAATTATATTGTGACTTGTAAATAAAATTAAATATATTTCTAAGACGCACATTGATGGAGAAGGTGACAGCATAAGAAGAAATTAAAAGATGATTGATTGATTAAAGGAGAAATTAGAGATGGTAGGGAATGGGATAGAGGGTTTGATTAGATTATGATATGGTGCTGGCCAGCTAGGCCTAGTGCCTAGGTTCTGGTATGGTACGATATTCGCCAGATTCACGGGAACCCGAACTCGACATTCTCCGTATTGACGAGCACGACTTGGTTCGTGTCCATGTGTAAAAAAATCGTCACCTATAGTGGACACGGGAATCTGGCACAGTCATTCCACTATAACTCTCAATGCACGCAGAATATGGTATCCATCCATCAATCTCATACTATGTGAATTATTCATCAAACATGCTTTTTCCTTTTTCATTATTTCTCACTTGTTTCAGCCACACTAATCTAATTAACTCATCGCCTTAGGCTTATAAATTAATCTAACCCATCTCTGCTGCAACTGCAAAACGCCACGATGCCAGCCACCACATCTCATTCGTACAGATTAATCATTTCACATCCTCAATTATTATTATACTCTCTCTCTCTCTCTCTCTTCAATTATGCATCTGCCATCTTTTATTTACTCTCAAAATTATTTTAAATTAAACTGTGTTTTTACCTCCATTACATTTTCGGATGAGTAGTTGTTGTTGGCTTCAATAAAATAATGGATTAATATAACACATCATAATCTTTCAAAACTAATAAAATGTTACCCCTTTCTAACTGTTAGTTGTTAAAAGTTAGTTAAGAGCATGATTTTAAAAAAACTCTATAAAAATTTTAAATCACTCTTAATTAAAATTATTAATTCTATCTTTAAATTTTAAAATCAAACAGACCTTCCAGACTAACTAGTTAATATTTGAACATTTTTAAAATAACTCATATTAATACTTTATTGAGTTTTATAAGATATTTTATATCAATTTTTAAAAAATATCTTACATTACAAATGGGGGAATATATATACTTCATACGTTTAAAAATGTAAGAAATTTTAATTAAATTCACCTTCAATAAAGTTGTTACTTACTTTTAAATTAACTTATCTTTTTATATTCATCCCTATTGAACACCCTGCAATAAATATAAAATAGTCATTATTAATAGGGACACTTAAAAAAATAATGATTAAATCTCAAAAAATTAAAAATATTTTATATTTTTTAACATTTAATTCTTCAAAAAATATCTTATATTTTTAAATGAAGAGAGTATATATAAACTAACATGCGTAATTTTATATATGAAAAGTTGGAAACAAATAGCATGAGAAAAAACATTGTAATACAAACAGGGACTTGGCATCGATCTGCTTTATGCGAATCAGTGTCCCACGCACATGCAGCTCGTACACAGCGGCAGTTTCATTTTTAATAATAATAATAATAATAATAATAATAATAATGCGTTTATCTTAAGCACTTATATTCCAAGTCCAAGTAGAGATCCGTCCTGGGCGACGCACTTTGTGATATTTTTCTTGCAGCACTATGCATGTTTCGAACATTTGCCCCTTTAGTCCCCATGTTTTCCATTTAATACCCATAATTATGGTGTCTTTCACCCTCAGCCTCCATTCATTATTCATTCAGCCCACACGCACATGTGCTCAATTATTAATTGCCTCTATCATTAGGCACCCAACTTTAATTCATGCTTATGATCAATTAATCGCTGATCATCACTCTGATCCATGAAATTAAAATAGCTTCTACTCTCATTGAAAAAGAATGCAAACTAATACAATTTTGAACTAGCCAGCTAGCTACATTAACACTGATATCAGGGCTAAGGGGTAAAATTCAAATTAACAGCTTATCAGAATAATTTCACAACTCGATATGTATATACACTTACGATGAAAGTGGGAAAGATGGCAATTACAAATTTAGTAACTAATGATTTTTCTCACGGCCATTATCGCGAGAAAACACTCATAATTCTATTTCTCACCGAATTTCTCATGTCTCTGACTAGCTAGGTATAGTTACGCACCATAGCTTCTGGTTCTAAAGGTGAGATCCTCACAATAGTTTCAGCAGAAGAAGGTTGGGACGTTGTGGATGAATCTACGATCTTATGACATGTCTGAAGGAGACAGCGTCTGCACTTAGGGCAAGACGAGTGCGAGCCGAGCCACTTGTCAATGCAACGAAGGTGGTAGCCATGGTTGCACTTGGGAAGAATCCGAAGCCGATCGCCACTGTTGAACTCCGAGAGACAGATCGCGCACTCTGTGTCCGGACCTGGGAGCTTCAACTCAATAGAGTACGTCACTGTCGGGAACGTCTTCAAGGCCTTCTTCTTCACTCCAGTGTTGGCCAGTCGAGCCGGCGAGTTAGTGGCGGCGGCGGCTGCGGCGGGGTCGTTAACGACGATGTTGGAAAACCTTAGGGCACATCTGATGATGGAGTTCAAACCCAGCGAGCAGATGAGAGCACACAAGAGGACAGACAGTACCATGATAACATTTGCATCGAAGTTACCATCTCCGAGGAAGGAAGGATCTGTCGAGTTGGTTTTGGAAGAATTAAGGTGGGAGTGAAGGAAGAGTAACCTTCTGGAGTGGATTAACATTCCATCGGCGAAAAAGAACTGATGATCAGAAATACCAGACATATTTGGTTCTGCTGTTTGTTATGTTGATGATGAAGATGAAGAATTGATGAGTATACTTAGAGATCAAGATGGGTTCAAGGGATTATATATATAGGAAAGATATATCATATATGTGTTGAATAGAATATTCCTAGGAGAGGGTTCAAGAGATTGAGATTTGATTTAGCAGAAATTAATGGATGCTCCACTCAGTGGGGTTTAACTTTTCCTGAATAGTAATAATAATTGGATTAATTATCTCAGGAAAAGTGGGTCTCTCTCTTCCACTTTAAGCGCGGTAGGATGTGCCACGTTTTCGATATATTCTGGAGAGTGGACCAATCATAAAATCCTCCCATATATTGCTGTTGCTTGATCCTACAATCCCAGTGGCCTTATAGCTTCACCTGAGAAAAGGCTGATCATTTTAGGAGGATCGTGACTTCTCAAAATATGGTTTCAAGTTCTATTCAAGGTTTACTCTTTAGGGTAAAGAATAACACTTGACAGTGTTTCTTTCTTTTTTCTAATCTTTTTTTTTCCCAGCAGTTAAGAAATTGTTATTATTATTATTACTACTACTATTATTATTATATTAATTTTTAGAGGGTAAAAATATACCTTTGCACTAGCAACTAAACGTGCTTTCAGAATGAAATTTTGTCTTTCTTCAATTTAACAGTAGTTTTTTGGGTACGATTTTTGATTCAATGTCTGGTCTTTTGGATTCAAAAGAGAAGTGAGCTAAGTGGCCTTGGCCGTACTCACCTTTGAGAACGAGCTTTTTGTATATCACTGGTCTCTTTTTCAGGTTTGTTTTTCTCTCTAGAGACTAAGGATTTGTTAATTCATGCGGTCATAAAAAAAAATTATTTCATATAAAAAGCAAGACATCAATTTGCAAATAATAACAAAATGTGTGTACTTTCTATGCAACTATCAAAGTAGTCATTGGCTCAAATTTGAGCATATATACATGCCCCTTTAGTCTTATTTATAAATTTAAGTATTTCTAGCATATTTCACCATAATTGAAGTGAAACTTTAAACATCATTAACTCTTTTTTTAAAAATTAATAAATTTCCTAACATTTAATAAGATAATAAAAGTAAAAAGGAACATAGAAAACAAATGAATGCAATGTAAATCTATCAATAGGACTAGAAGAGTATAGTATTGAAAACAGAGCCAACCTAACTAGTTCAAGTGGTAAACTATTGAATCGACATCTTAATAACTTGTTTAATAAAATAGTTTGTTCATGATCAATTTGACCATTGACTTTTAAATTGACGCATTCACCGATTCAGTGACTAGTTCGATTTTTTTGCATACCTTTAAATTTGAATAATATTTGGATTTGATTGGGGGGTATTCTTAATGTAACTTCTTAAATTAACATCATTTTTTGTTTAATTTCTTTTAGCTTTGTTTAATTAAATTTAACATAAAAGCCACTATACAACCATTACCAATGATGGTTTATTGCTTATGACCATTACTAATGAAATCTTATCTCAAATTCGAACTTAATTACTTGACCATTATCTTAAGATTCACCCTATATTGTGGGTGGATATTGAATCAACATTAATGTTGATTCTATTCATCAACAAGAATTAGATTTGAATCTGAAAGATTAGACGTTAAGCACTGGAGATGGATTAGATTAAAGCAGTAAATCAAAAGGGAGTGATTTGCAAGCTCCAGCTGGAAAGTTGATGAACAAAGCTAGCAGGTTTCAGTCACAACTAAATAACAATTAACAAAAGAGGCCCAAGTTGGCTGACAAGCTTCCTTACAGTACAAATCTTATCCTCTAATAACAATAACAATATGTTTATAATCTGTCTTTGTGATTCTTAGTACATAAAATTGCAACATGTCATGTTAGACACCAGTAATCAGATTAAATAGATATTCAAAATCTTCCAAGGCTGCAACTAGTTAGATCGCAATCCCTTGGGATACTAATTTATTAATTACCTCATCAATTTGAATTTTTGATTTGTGGGTACTTTTCGGCTTCAAAATCTGAATACAAAAACAACGTTGTGGGTATTGTAGATTATCCATATGGAGGAAGAAACGCGGAGACAAGTGGCTAAGCTTTCTCTCTCTTTTTCTTCTTCTTTATTTAAAGGAAAAAAAGTTCAATAATAATAATAATAAATATAATGATTAATGTTCATAAAAAAAAATAGTAAGACTAAGAGTTTTTGAGGTTTAAAGTTTTGCTTTTTTGCTTTAGGCTGTACTGTATGTAAACCACCACTTGGATTTTTATCTTCGCGGGCTGGATCTCACTATGCTTGTTGTTTCTCTACATGGCCCACACCATGGGACCATCCGTTCAGGACTCACATGTCCAGCACAACAAATTTAAATAAAAAAAATCTAATGAAATCGTAAATCATTCTAAAATTCCATGTTTTCCCATTGAAGTTGTCGGTTATTGCTAAATAGTTGTTAATTACTGTCGTTTAGTGTTCAATTAAATAATTTTGTTAACAACCATCCAACATTAATTAATAATTTCAATATAGCAAATTGACAATTTTAATAAGTGACATGAAATTTAAACTTTTATTTTAAGAAAAAAATAATAGCAAAAAATAAAGCCATAAAACTTAATATAGACAAATACAAATTAACAATTCTCATTTTCCATCGGCTTACATATATAGATGTATATAATTTATTGTAAAAAACATATAATACTAGTTTAGTCGAAGGGAATTATAGTTGCTTTCAAATCTATGTGAAAGCACAAAAAAAAAATTACACTTTTAAAGTATCGACCTTCGTTTGGACCCGATAAATTTGAAATTTTCGATCTGGTAGTACTGAATATTGGATATCATATATTTTATAAAAAAAAAAGAATTAAGGGTGATATATTCGACAAAAAAAGTTGGTGAAAAAAACAAAAAAGAAATGGGATAAACGTAGTTGGAATCCAATGAGAAATAGATGCGTGTTAGTGCTAAACAATTCATCATTCTGATTTTTCTCCCGATTTAGACACACATTCCTATTTCTGATATCATTATGTAGTGACGCCATTAGTGAATTTTTCCTGCCCTATGCATCCCCTATTCTATTAATACTATAGCTAATACTATTTGTTCTGATCTTTCTATATGCTCTATGTTCTTTATATATATATATATATTGCTTTTCAAAGTATCATCTCCCTCTTCATTATATTGTCCAAAGAAATAACCATCATCTTCATCTCATAACGCAAATGACACCAAATTTTGTTAAATTCATGGCCAAATCATAAACAATATACAAGCTAATTAAATTTCTAACTCTAGAATAAAAACTAAATAGTGTGTTAAGTTTTTTAAGTATGAGTAGATTTAAATTAACATGAGAAGTTACACATCAAACAAAAATTGAGCCAAATAATTAAGACATAATAAGGTGTAAAGATATATAAACTTGATTTTAAAGTTTTGAGTTAAGCTATGATATATCCTTTCACAGTTTTTGCCCACTTTAATTTATTATATATTAACTATTAAACTCAATTTTATTCAATACTTATAATTTGACAACCTAACACAATGAATTTCTTAGAGAGTTTGATATAGTTCATTATTAGCAGTAAATAGTTCGACTTGCTCTCTATATATATTGTTTGGACTAAATATGAAATGTCACTCAAATAGATCACAAAGCTAGTTGAACTGAATAATTAAAATATCAAGCCTAATATAAACAAAAGAGATCAGCCCGAAAGATCTATAAAGGCCATAACAAGTAAACATATCGAAATCCCATCAACTATAAATATTAGACCGTTGGCACGAAAATACAATCCTAAGTAATGTCGAAATCTACGTCCAAATAATTCGATAAAATGGGCTGGTTATCAAAATGGAGAGACCGTACCATAATTTTAGCAAGATTCCTGATTCTTCAGCAAAATGTGTTAAGTTTCAAGGAAAAGGCTTCTGCTATTTGATATTAATAGAAAGAAGAAAATACAAAAAAAGCTAGTCAATACTCCATCAAGACTCACACATTTTACATTTGTTATCCCTTTTTACTTTTTAAGTCTGTAATCTTTTACACTTTAATAAAAGCATACATTTATTCTACCAAAGTCTTGTATCTTTTTATATCCGCGTGAACTGTGGTAAGAAAACTCGAGATCCTTTTGTTATCTATTGAGACTGGCACGCCTAGTATTTATTATTTAACTACAAATATATATAAATATATATATATATATATATATATAACTTCATCTATAAAATGGAGTGAAGCCAAGCTCTTATCACATTTCAGTGATACTATATATATATTAATCTTTTGGCTGCGCACCTAGTCTCCAATATACTTGTTTCCCTTTTAATCCATTTGGTGTTTCTTTTTTAGTATATTAAAAGCATATTTTTGGATGGAAAAGTGAATGGAATTGGATCGGCCTGGTGCTTGTGATGATGTGTTTGTGTGTAACCCAAGTGGGCGAGTTGACAAGTGAGGCACATATTCATTATATTATTGTTGATTTAGATTTCTGGAACTTGCATTTTGGCCCAACGCCTTAAAATATACATAGTTTCAAATATACCGTATAATCTAAATCTCAACTTGTGTCATTAATTAATATCATAATCCATTAATCGTTATAATTATCTATACTTGAGTGTGGTTCATGTTCATTTAATTAGAACTGCTCAGTGCTTGACACACAGTACAGTATATAGATTTGAGTAGCGAATACGTTCATTTTATGTACAAGTGTGTGTCATATGAGAATCAAAATTAGATATTATAATGAAGAAAGCAAGGGGGTTATATTAATAATCTTGGACGAAGATATGGTATATATAAAATGTGATCTTTTTTGAAGCTTTTGAGGATTGAATTTGAAAAAATAAACACTTTTTTGGGGATGGGGTTGTGTTCATTGGATGATTGAAGAAGACTACTTTATAATTTGTTAGGTACTACGGACACAGCTTGTGCTTTGTGGATGCCGCCCACTATTATCGGAGCATGCGGGGCTCCTACGTAAGCATTGCATGAGGGCTGATGCTATTATCGACTTTGTTTGATTATATGTTT